AGAAAGTCCCTTGTATGATGTAACCACACGGACAACTAAATGCTCACTTGCATCTAGAGAAGCCAGAATTTATTTTATCTCTACTTCAAAGCACGGACATTCAGCCGTATTAAAGAGGATTTATTGACATGTCCGGTGAAGGAACAACGTAACGCAAACATTCATTGGTACGTTTACATTGAAGGTGATCGAATGCTCAAGAGAAGTTATCGACCTCAAGTTCGGCTTTGGAGATCCAGCTTTCCTTCATCACCAGCAGGATACCGCTGACAAGTTAGGTACGCAGCAAGGGAGGGGTAGGCTGACAGACTTCAGTGTATCTCGATGACGTTGCTTCTCTGTTGTGTTACATTTTTAACCTTTGCATTGTTGTTTCTGTTTTACTAGTGAGCGGGGTGAATCTTGAATCTGCCGACGCTCAGGAAATTGGGATAACTTATGAGATGATGCAGGTTTGTGAGTGTTCTTGATTTAAAGGCCAGGTAGTACAGGCGAAATTTTTTTTTTCAACTTCCTGCGCGACAACTTGAAGAGAAATATAGCCCGTGTTACTGTGACTTAAGTATAAATGTCCTTTTTCTGATCTAGATCACTATCTTCTCTTGTTAAGATAGAATCGGCCAAGCGAGCGACAACTTTAGCCCATTTAAATGGAAAATTTTACAGTAATTTCCAGAACACTGTCGCGTTACTGTCTCTCTCTTTTTCAGACATTCAAGCAAAACCTTTCAGCTCGTCTAGTTGATTTATTGTAATAAACTCCTTCAAACTTGGAATAGACAACCGTGTTTTCGATTGATTTATAGGCACTTTCCCGTTGGTTTATAAATCTCCCCCAAACGCTATACACATTCGGTAATAGAGCAGTTTTTACTTCAGCTTGAGGGTCGAAATTAATTCGCATTCGCTTTGCTTCTGCGCGATTGGCTGAAAAAAAAACCTCGTGACTCTCTCGCACGCGTTTTCCCGCGCTTTGCGTCGGCTACATGTATTTTCTCTGAGTTTTGATTGGTTCTCTGGGCTGCGTGTGTCCTTTGTGATTGGCTAGAGTCCTTGGCTTGTGTCCTTTGTGATTGGCCAGAGTGGTTACTTTGGTTTCGGTTTCACAACCGCTCCAATATGGTATGAACAATATCGGTATAACCATTGATACACCTGATATCACAGTACGGTCACTTGACTTGTTCATCACACAAACTCCCACCGTTCGATCCCAGAATCCCACACGTTTTCACGTCTATAAACATCTTTAACAACTGCCAGATGTTTTAAATGTAATTTGTTTATTTTGCTGCAGAACATAATTGAAAACGTCCTCATGGAGAGCGGCTATTACGACATGTCTCCCTGTGCGAGGTGAGATACCAAGGTTATTTCCTGTCTATACATTCTATACGTGCTGTATGTGATCAATTTGGAATAGTGCTTTCATGTTCTACTGTTTGTAATGCTGTACAAGGTGGTTCTTACGTTAAAGTCTGGGGAGACACCCTAGAGGGTAACTATTCAAATGAAAGCTATTGAGCAGTACTTTCATGTGGTACTGTTTATTATGCTGTACAAGGTGGTTCTAACTTTGAAGTCTGTGGATAAAATCCACGTGTTTGACCATTCAAATGTCAGTGAAAGGTATTTAGCAACACTTTCATCAGTAGTACTGTTTATTTCAGAATATTGTATATCCACATGCCGTTATTCTTAATAGGTTCATATCATCTTGTTTCAGAAACCGGACGGTTCCTCTGGGTCCTATTGGCACGTTGCCGGCGTCTGGTGTCAATTTTGGTCCCTCTAAGAGGGGTACAAGCTCTTAATATGGAGTGGAATTTTTTATACCATCTATAATGTCTAGGAAAATAAAAAGGCTGCCTTTAAATGTAGCAAATTGTCAACTACTTTAAAATCGAAAGTGGATAAGCAGTTTTGGAGCAATTTTGTTCGAATAATTTGCGATTGGAGGTATTTTCAATATTTGATAAAACAACTTCCTTTGGCAGCGTTTTTATTTGAAAGCCGTCTTGGATGGAAAGCGAGATTCCGTTTTATGTAAATGTTTGTACAGAACAAACCTAATTTATTTTTTTAGCAGACGTTTATTTAAAAAGCGATAGATGTAAATGGAAAAGAGAGTTTTATCTAAACTGCGCAGGTGTACGCGAATTTTTCAGTCGCTTGAAAAGTTGAACTTTTCATGTAGAGTCACCCCAACCACTAGTGTAGATTTTTAAAAGAATAATAATGATCGTATCAGACATCTTGCAGATTGAATGTCCCTTGCTCTGGTGTCCAGAATTTGGACACGAAAGACGCCGTGAAAATTAATACAGGTAATCGTATGAATGCGAATGCAATTAAAGATTTCCACTACGAGTGATACTTGGAAATTCTCTCAAAATTGCGCGAGCCTTTAGGTGAGTGTAATGTGGAAGAATTTAGAAATCCTTAATTGCTCTGGTTTTCATACGGCTACTCATTTTTTTTATATGACTGAGAAAATTACGAACGCGTACGGGTTAATTTGTACTGCAGTGCAAATCAAAAATTGACGACAAATTAGCCTGCTCTCAGCCAATCACAGTGAAGTAATTTTCTCAGTCATATAGTAAGAAAATTAAGGAGATGAGAAGAGAGGTATTTATTAATTTCTGTGGATACTTTTGTTTTCAATTTTCCTCAATTTCACATTAGTTTTGAAGAGAAATTCAATGTGGATGTTAGGGGTTCAACGTCATTGTATTCCAGTGGAAGTCAAGTCCACGATTATAACTGAGAGCTTTCTGGTGCTGTGCAGCAATACAATAGGCCACTTCCGAGTTAACTTGTGCCTCTGTTTCAAAACGAATATTCGTGCAAAACCTTGCATTCTCTATTTTTTAATTGCCCATAATTCACTCTGTTTGCCCCCAAGTTTTGTATAAAATATTGTTGTGAAATGCTCTTGGGAGGTCTGCATATTCCCAAGAGCATTTCACATCAATAGCTTATGCCAAATTTGGGGGACAAACAGAGTGAATTATGGGCAATTGGAAAATAGAGAATACTGAAATGAGTTTGATTTGCATGAAAATGAACATGTAGGCGGAACACACGTGATTGGTTCACACGAAGGCTCATTTTGACACAGAGGCAAAAGGCAACTCGGAAGTGGTCTTTTGGCGTAATGTTTGTGATAGCCTAACTGTCAGGTTCTTACGAAATTAAGGGTAGAGGGGTAGGAAGTGTCGTCCTTCCCTCCCCTTAAGAAGGTCTGATACTCGGGTTTTGTTTGTAAAATGAAAAACATTTTTGTCTCTAATTTATTCTCGAAATACCGTTTTGAAGTGTGCAGATTTCTACGAATGTGTGGCAAATGTTTCTGCTAGCCTTACTGACAAATATTTAATCATAATAACGGGCTTCGCTAGCCAGAATTATGTCCCAATTCCTTCAGGAAGAAATTGGGAATGAAACACAGCTTGAATTTTACCTTCTTAACAAATAATGTATCAATGAAGCATGACTTGTTTCAGGGTGTAGGTGTGAATGCCCAGAGATTTTAAAGTATAGAGTGAAATAGTAAATAAATCTTATTTTTTATTCCGTGATTTAAAGACGAAGTAAAAAATCATTTCGACTATATTTAGTATAGTTTGTTTTTTTTAAATACATATAGATATGTTGTAATGTCTGTAAAAGACACGAAATTTTTGTTTCCGTTGGTCTGTAAATGCTAATTTGATAATATTTTACTCTGACCAAATTCAATGCCTTCCCATCATTTTCCATAACCGCTGCATCTCACGCCGATTCGCGCTGCAAGTCAGTTTATTTGACCTCGTGTAAACGACGTCCCCTTGTCTAAAAGCTCACAAAACGAAAATTTGAATCAGAAAACGGTTTAAACAGGACAGCAAAAATTTGCGTTGTCCCGATCAACCATTGAACCTCTCAACTGAAAAACATCGAGTTTCCCTACTGCGCAGCTTCACCATTGGCCGCTTTTATGCTAGAGACGTTTAAGTTGTCTTGACACTTGGGTTAAAGGCGTCTGGTATGAAAACGAGACGCAGTTAAGTACACAGCGTAACAAAAAACATTAAAAATGACTGGGTTCTATACCCAGAGGACACTGGAAACGAGCAACTTTTACCGCGCCAATATGCGAACAAACTGAATCTACTCGCTGTTAACGTGGCAGGCAGTTAAGGGCGTCACGTTTTTATACTAGACAGGTTTAACGTCTCAAACGTTTAAGGCGACTGATGAGAGCGTCTTTCAGACGCCCTTAAAAGAACACGTTAAAGTAGGCAGACGTTAAAAGCGTCTTCCTTATTTCCCGTTTTTATTGTAGACGTTCAAGTCGTCTCGAGACAGCTTTAACGTCCGAGATGACATTAACGTCCCTAGCATAAAAACGTTCATTAACCGTTTGCCCTTCGAATATCTTGCTCACTCGTTCGCTGAGCTTTTGCATTCGTCCCCGCAGAAGACAGACTGCCCGAAGTCGAACCCCGAACAACGGTCAGTTGTGCTGATGCAATAAATTTAAATCATTTATTTTAAGGAGGTGGGCAAGTATCAGAGTAAATCCTATACAAATAGAAAATGTAAAACACGCAAAAAGGTTATATAACGCAAAAAAGATACATCGAAACAGTTCCCCAGCCCCAGCCCCTCCCCGCTTCTCTTCTCGTACCAGGCGGCCTGCCAAAAAATAAAAATACCCGCACAAAATCAACTTAGGAAAAATTCGTGGTTTGGAAAATTTCTTCACTTTGTTCCATCCCTAATGAGGCAAAACCGGTTTTCTCTCTGACCGTGAGTTCATTTTACAGATATAGATTCGCCATGAGGCAGGTGGGCATACGAAAGAAAACTAGGTCCTCTACTACGTAACCCCCTACCTAACCATCCCCCTAAAAAATTGGTAACCCAATCCCTTCGTGATGCTTTTGCTCTTTTTCGACGCAAGGGCCCTAAAATAGCATTTGCGCAAGTTGAAGAAACGTTGAGAAAAGACAAGAAATGTCGCGCTGATGTTAGAAAATAGGGAGTTAAATTAAGTAACTACGACGCTGACGCCATAACAACATGGATTAAAAAATACATTTATATTTTACCTACAGATCTCGCGATACTATAAATTCATTTCAGTTTTTCCCTCTTTTTCAAAACTCTCGAAACTGAATATGGAACACAGCGTAAAATTCGAAATATTCTCCACACAACGCAGAATTTGGTCATTTCACTTTGTTCTTTTGCAGAGGACGGCAAAGACGGAAATGTACCAAGAATTATAACGCACGTGCACAGCCATTGTCGTGCTCATTAAACCTTTTGTTTCGCGCCGTTCCATTGTCGTTGCCGCTGTGGTTTTCCGGCCCTATTTGTTTGCCTAGAACACAGAGAGTGGCTTTATTAGCGTCTCTGCTTCGCGTTTCCCATCCGCTGGACCAGAGAGACGCGAGCTCTGGGTGTAGTGCACAAGTTTTTAAAAACAAGCCTTGAAGGGTTCATAAGAACGCCAAAAACACGCGGAAATCTCATTAAGCGCATTTTTAATTCTTCAACAACATCAAAAATCTCAGGAAAGCCAATAAGAAAAGTTCAATAGCGTATGTTACAGAGTTTACCACATAACACCCTGTATCATAAAGTCATTCTTCAGTTTCGATACGTGAGCGTCGGAGTGAGCTGAAAGGATGGATTTTGAAAGGGAACTTGAAAGAGGCATTTTAACAATAACAGGGGGATAAAATGGGAGCTTCGATAAAAAAAAAAGTGGCTTTTGAAAAGGGGCTTTTAAATACGGAATTTGCGGACCTTGGTGACTTTTGGTCAGCGTTTGAACTTGAACAGGAACTTTGACAAAGCTGATTTGTTCTCGATGCGTTTGCCAGTGTCTAACCAATCGGTGTCTCCTGTCAAATCTTTGATCACTTCATTCTTGACACCAACACCACTGGGCCCAGGAACATCGTCTTCTGGACAGAACAGGTCACATGATGAGCCCTGGTACGGATCTGAATTACAAACGTTAAAATTGTCCGCTGGGGGAGTCAGAACGTTGAGAAATGACGACATAAGATCCGTGCTGACCGAGGAAGAAGACTCGTCGACTTTCTTTCCGCTTGTTTTACTCCGCGCTTCCTCCTTTCCCCGCGCTGGCGCGACTTTGTTTCTTTTGAACGCTTTCTTCTCCTTTTTTTTCCCATCGTAGTTATCGCCTTCCCCAGCATACGAGCTCGTCACGTCGTAAAAATCATTCTCTTTGACAGCCTGAAATTTCTTCTGTTTTGTTTTACGAACAATTCGGATTCCAAATCGACTGTTATTTGTTCTTTCAATGGCAAATTTTATGAAGTACAAGAAAAGGAGCAGGACAAAAGATATCCCGCCATACGCTTCTGACATCTTTCCGTTCGACTTTTTTGCTTTTATCCCAATACACACTTATGACTTCACTGCACATAACAATTGTTTGATAATTGTTTTCCAATTATCAAAAAGCGCGCGCGCAATTAGCTTTATAAGACCAATGTACAAATTCTCCTTGCTGTTCTTCGTTTGTATTTTACACTACTGGTTGAGATAATTTTACCATGTATTCGGATAATTTGGCAAGATTTACTGATCAGTGTGTGATTTAGGGACTCGCGCGATAAATGTAGCTTAACTCATTAAAGAATTCATGGCGCTCGTCACGCTGAATTAAAAGACTCTATGCTGAGCCAAGTTAAAAGGACGGACCATTATAGTGAGGGAGGGGAGGGTACGTGAAATCTCATGCCGCAAGAATTTTTGTTTTTAGTAAGAGGCTCATGTGTAAGCCCCTTTCTGTTAATAGCAAAATATTTTATCAACCCTTTGAATCTGGTGGTTCGGCTGGGCAAAAGACAGGAGCCCATGGGCTCCCGACATTAATATTGTTTTGCCAACAATTTCTCGCACTATTTTTTGTTGTTGTTGCTTTCCCCACCTTTCCCCCCTCTTTGATATTTTTTCTAATAATCGGCCCGTAACCAAATCTGAGTAGTATTCTCTCCTAATACTGGGCCTGCCAATGATATGAGCGTGGCGAAGACTGGCTGACCAACCTCGGCAAGAGAAAATGAGGGGTCCCCTCATTTTTTATTGAGCTTGGTTAAAAACAAAGTTTATAAAATGGCGAAACAGGAGAATTTCAATCTTCTGAAAACGGCTTAATGTAG